GGTGCTGCCGGGTTGGTCCCGCAGCCCCGAGGGGCAGCGCTACGAGACCAACCCGGCAGCACCCCAGATGCTCTGCTCCTGGCTTCCCTGATTCAGCTGCTGGTCAGTTTCAGCAGCAGCTGAATGGGGGAAGCCTGTCCGGCTGCCCCAGCACTTCCGGGTTCTTGATGGTGCCGGACCATCAGGAGTCCCGGAGCATTGGATGCCGGACTAATGGAGTTTTACTGTAGTAAGGTATCTTGAAGATTATTTATTTGATTACATCCAAATAGCACAATCGTGATAACTACTATTACATGTAGGGAGTATTGTGTCACATTGTCTACGACTGAGCTCTATCCATCATTCTGTGATTTAATTGTTGAACCACATTTTCTAATGTGAGTCTTGTCTTGTTAATAAGTGGTACTAGTATCACTATTGAGACAAGAGATAGCTGAGGATAAGGATTTTGGATAAACACACTTTATGGTGTAATTAATTAATTAATTAATGTGTGTGATATATGAAGTCCCTAAAACATTAAAATTTCAGGAATGGGTGTGGCAAATATCTTGTCCTTTAATCAAAAAGCTCTCATCCATCCAGAAGAGTTTTATACCATAACACAAAACTGACACATTTTCTAAACCACATGCAGTAAGAAGAAACAATACGTCTTGTCAAATGAGAATCCTACGTAAATGCTTCTTTGGCTTGTCAATCATTCATAGAATAGGGGGAAATATTTTTAACAGTTACACTGAGGAAAGCAAATGGAAGATGACATTTCAGGCAGCAGGAGATGGGGAGATGGATTGGATTTATTAGCTCTATAGTCACAAAGAAGGGCAAACACCATGCTTTAGGAAGTGTTACCACACAAAATTTCAAGGACAATGGAGATTACAGATGAATTAAATGAGAAGAGATACATTTGGACATCCAGAAAAATGAGATAATGAGCATTTATTTGACTGTCTACACAAACTTCACCCGAAGAAGAGCTCTGTGTAAATCTAACTATTTCACCAATAAAAGTTTAGCTAATGAACAATAATGCTTCATCCACCTTGTCTCACTAACTCACTATACAGTTTCCTTCTCTGTGTCTGTGTGTGTCTCTGTTTGCAAACAGGCATTTTTAGGTCTGTAGTGTCAGATAGGAAAAAAAACTACATGGAATCACTCATATCCAAAAAGGGTTATAAATTACTTTAAAAAGTTGTATTGAAAAGTACATTCTATGCCCCCTAACAAGATTAAAGCAGCCCATTGAGGTGGAACATGTATGTCTTGAACTAATCGAAGAACCTATACAGAAAGGTTCTACTTAATGTAAGTAAAGGTGGTAGAAATGGGACCTACAATTGAAGGATCCTGCATAATATTGTAGAGCTGTTAAAAATTTTGGGCATATACAGAGTTTATTACTGGCACCATTAGGAAATGAATACCTAACATTAGCCAAAACACAGCGATTAAATGAATGATTAGATGCCTTTTTTCAACTGGATATTTAAAAAAGAAGAAATTAATCTAGGTCTCTTTGCATGGACATGCAGAAACCAAAAAAGCTTTAGTCGAACTTAGCCAGGATGAGACCCAGAAGCTTACTGCTAGAATAAAATCTCAAAAGTTAGCTCAGAAGATCAAAGATTATGAAAACACACTGAGGAAATAGACAGTGAATTGCATAGATTTAATAATACTAGCAAATCATTGCAACTTCCATATATCAATTTAGGTATCATTTCTGTGTTGTAAATTGTTAATATAGCTGGATGAAAACAATCAGGAACAGTATCCAAAATAATGAAAAGGAAATAAATAAACAAAATAGGGAAGAATACTTTAAATATCCACTGCAACCCAACAACAAAAAGCTTTTTGGGTATATTGGTATATATGTACATGGCACATGACAGTACAAAAGAGTATGTTTGAAGCACTATATATGATTACATGCCATCAGAGAAACTATGAAGAAAAAAAAAACAATGGGACCCTTCTAGTGCTTTTTTTTAAACCATGAATTCACATGTACTTTCAGTACCAGCAAGATTTTGAAGGCTTTCATGAGAATTTTCTGCACCTTTCCTCAAACAGTAAAATTTACAAAAATGGTGTCAAATCTTTCTATTATGTAGATCACACTAAAATTTATTTCTGCCTTTGTAATACATGCATAAGTGCTTAATGTTCATTTTCAATACTCAAAAGAGTTAAAAGCCATCTCCATAGTATAATGAGAAAACTTGATTCAGTGACCTTGACCCCCTAGAGTCTAGACATTAAACTTTGTTGTACCAAGAAATTAGAGTTAGAGTAAAATTTTCAAAAGTGCCTCCAAAATCTAAGTCTCATTTTAAAAAAGGATGTAGACACTCATCCCAGTAGGCATACCTGGGAGGTCAACAAATGCCTTTGATGTCGACCGCGGACCGTCCAGACTACCGTGCTGAGCCGACAAACAACTGGTTGGCTCAGCGCGGCAGCCATTTAAATTTAAATGAAGCGGTCTACATGCCTCTGTCACCAGAAGCATGTAGTCTAGACGTACCCTTAGAAGTTCAAGTCTCACTGAAAATAAACATGATTTGGGCTCCTAAGCACTGATAAAAGTGTGTAAAATTTATTTAATTATTCATTTAACTAAGATAAACAATGTAAGTCAGGTAGAGGACAATGGTAACATCATATAGTTTAATTTCTTTCTGTAAACAGGAGAAACATGGGGGTTCCAAGTTAAAATTGGCATTTGGCCCCAGGAGACATTAATCTCTGTCCAAGATTAGTTTCTTTTCTAGAGAGACGGTGACCAGTCATGACATTCAGAATCAGACCAAATTTTCCTCTAACTTTGAGAGCCCAGGTTTTGGTTCAGGTCACAGTTAATTAAAAATATTATAATGTAATAATATTGTATTTTATTAAACCACAATTTAATGTCATCACATCCGAACCACCTGCCAAACCAACAACTGAGTTACTGAACAACAAGCTGTCAACATAACCTTTTTGTTTCAATTTCATTTCACTTTTCACAAGCTTTCACTTTTATTTCTATTGCCTCAGCAAAGTCTTATTTCCCCAGTTCACTGCCATAGGTTCATAGCTGATAACAAAGCACAGTTTCAACCACAAAATGGAAATAAGGGTGAGAGAATTCACACAAGAGAATATGAATTGGCACAGGCCCTGCTCCAGATTCCACTAACAGTCTCTCTACTGGTCCTTCTTGTTCATTTAATAAACCAGAATAAGAGAAGATTCCTGCCTCCCTGTGAGGTTGCTACTCCTGATCTAGCCAATATCATCAAAAAGAACAACTCCTGAAAAACAGAATAATTTCAGTGTTGAGTTCCAACTAAACAAAACCTAGGTATTACAGCATTGTATGCGTCCATTACTGAACAATCATAGTCCTGTTAAAAGACCAGCAGAGTTGCAGAGCTGAGCCAGTGCTGAGGAATTTGAGGAATGGGATATGTTCCCATACCCTGAGGAGGCCAGAAGGAGCACCAGCATAAGTCTGTCCAGAGGATCAATGCAAGTTGGTGAAATTGAGTTGC